AAAGAAAAAAAAAAAAGTCTTTATAGGCCTACCTAGAAGCCTGTCAGGGAAATTAAACAGTTTCATGTCTTGACAATAAGTTTTTAAACAACTGTGCAAGTGGAACGAAATGCATTGCCACTTGTGCTGAAGCTGAGTGCATGCACTTACCACTCTTAGACCAACCTGAACTGATCCTCCTCAGAAGAACTTCTTGACGCAACCGCAGAACTTCAGCTTCCAAGGCAGCAACTTTGGATCTGCAGTTTGAATCCTGCTCAGATACCAGTGCTGCAAGGTACTCCGCGTGTTCTCTGCCACTTCTGTCCACTGGCTTGGAGCGGATGATTGCCAAGGCTAAAGCCAACTTTGAAGCTCTCAAATGCCATGTTTGAAGATCCATCCTGGCTTTTGTTCCTGTCATTTAATTAGAAAAACAAGTTATAGAAAGTCCTTTAAATTTTGGCAGAGCTAAAAAACGATTTTGTAGGGTAATACTCATTAAGGTTAACAAACTATGTGGTACCAAGTAACAGAAAAAATATTTCTCAGGAACTGAAAACTACTGCAGAAGCAAAGTGTACACACATGCTTTAATACATTAAGATTCAAAATAGTAAGTTGGACAACTTGACAAGTTCCTGCAGTTAAAAAAAAAAACAAAACATTAATTTATTGACTGGTTTTTAACCAGAGACGTACATTGGAATTACTGCAGGAGCTTTTAAAATATGCATGCCTGATTCATTAGTCCAAAATTCTGACTCATCAAATTACACAAGGCTTGTATTTTGAAATGGCCCACTGGGTAATCATAACCACTACGCCAAATCACCCACTTCAGTGTAAGCCCTTCCTTTCCTTCCATCCATTCTGCTAAAAGCCTCAGGGGCCCTGCTTCCCAACTCTCCATTCCTCTCTGTACCTTTTATCTGTTCTTCCTGCCTTTAATCATCCCCTTCTGACCTATACACAAAGCCATCTTTTAAACAGCTATATCATTTAAATTGTGAATCTCCTTTGATTCTGCACATTCAGAGATTTCCAAGTGCCACCCAGAATATATTTTTCATTTAAGAGGACAACATAACAAGCCATTGGAATAATTTCACCCTTCCTACTGAAGCACAAGCCCCTGGTGGCTTTACCATGCTTTTGTGAATTACTACTGGGATTCAGTTCATAGAACATACTAAGTGAAAAGAAAACCTAACAAATAATTAAAAGTACAATAGGTACTTCTAATCTATAGATTCTATAGATTTTAGCTATAGGTTTTACATATGTGTGCAGATAGTCAACTAACCTGAGATCAAACCTTCTGATAAAAATTAATTTATGCTCAACATATACAAACAATGCTTTCTTGTTAATGTTGCTAAACAATACCATGTAATAGTATTTACATCTATTAGACATAATCTAGAGGCAGTTTTGTAGCTAGGAAAATGTGTATGTCTTTCACAGAATTAATTTTTTCAATATTGAAAACAGGGATGGACACAAAATTAAGTAAAAAAGTGCTGGAAAATAGATTTTCAAAATCAGAGTATAGCTGCCATTTCTCTAAACTTTCCCAGTTGCTGCACTGCACAGAGACTTCGCCTTGTAGAGATGGGCACCACCTTAGACTGACAGCTCCCCTCAAGTTAGCTGCTGCAGCATCACTTTCCTCCAGCTTCTATGTCAGGGATGGGAACAGCAGACTCTGACACTCAGGACTCTCAGAAAAGCACCAACCAACATATCACACACACACACAACTCTTTCACAGTCTGCTAGTAATAAGATTGTACTGATTACAATGAAATTATAATCTTTTCAGAAGTGTTTCAGTTAAAAAGAATCTTGGGGGCCAAGGAGATAGTTCAGCAATCTAAACACCTGCCTAGAACTGCAAGGACCCAGGTTCGATCACTGGTACCACATGCTGCATCTGTTCTGGACTGTGCCATCTACTGAAATGGGGCATTGTGGTGCACACCAGTAATCCCAGTGCTGGGGAGGCTAAGACAGCAGGATCACTACGAGTGAAAGCTGCATAACAAGCCCCTATATCAAATCAATCAATCGAACAATCAATCCATCCATCTTAAAAATTTTCACTTTAATTATCAATAGTAGGAAATTTGGATTAAAAAAGGTAGAATAAGAGTTCATTAACACAGAGGATAAACTGCGCTGGATAATACAGTAAACTCTCAGTCATCATAGAGATGTCTAATTAATTGATCTAAGCAAGCAGATTAAATGTTCTGATAGTTAAGTCATTATATGCAATTTAATAGTCTCAAAATCATGCTAAATATCAGTCACCACAAAAATGACCAAATTATCAAGTCCTTTTGAATTGTAACTATCTCAGCATCATCTGAACATTAATTAGAACTGGGACACAAATGAGTAGAAATGACTGCAAATAAAAAAAACCTGGGACAAGCTTGTAGATTATAAATAATACTGAAAACACACACAGATCTATAACCTACAACCACAAAGAACCATGCTTTAAAATTGTTCCTATGTGAGTGTGTGTGTGTATTTATAAACATTCACCTTTTTAATATTAGGATAACATATTTAACCTCAAAGTGCCAGTAACAAGATAAAAATATTTTCCCTATCATTTAATGGAAGGAAAATACAAATTTCTGCACACTAGACCTTTGCCTCCAATCTTCTGACACCAAGTTCCTAAATTCCTTAGGAACCTTCTGGCACCACGTCCCTGAGTGGTAGGGGATTCTTTTGTTTTAATCAGCAAAGTCTTGGCAGACCCCCAGATTGCTCCCATAGGGCAAGCTGCTAGAAATACCAATCTACACTTGTAAATTAGGAATTATCACCCGTCCCCAGTTCCAATCAGTTAAGATGGACTAACTAACGAGGAAGTTAATAATGAATCAACCCTGATGAAAACCTCCATAAAAGCTTAGGAAAGTGCTAGAAAGGTGGAGCTTCCTGAGGGGTCACAGAAGGTCTGACTCTACTCTAAATTTGGCTCTACATAACACTTCCATCAGGCTCTTCCTAAGTTGTACTCTATAGTAAACTAATAATAAGCAAAACTCTTCTATGAATTTTGCTACCAAATTAACAAATCTAATAGGTTGCAGAACCTCTGACTCTGCAGCCAAGACGAACAGATTAGAGGTAACATTAAAACTCCAGTATTTACAACAGGTGTCTGAACTGAAGGTAGTCTTTTGGAAAGTCTTTTAGAATTGAGCCTATAAACCTGTGGAGTCTGATGTTAATTTCAGGTACTCAGTGTCAGAACTGAACTGAGCCATTGAACATTTAGTTGGTGTCTGGAGAAATAGAGAATTGGTTGTTCGTATTGGAAAGCATTCTGTTTCCTAAATATATTCTCTGTTTAACTGAAATGATCAGTAGTAACTTCCGGAAAGTCTTTATAAATTCAACTTATCTTGAAATTACTGTAAATATTATGAACATTTAATGTTCCCTAGGAAGGTATTTAGTGTCTTTACATTCTTAACAGTTTGAAACATAAAATTTTAATAGTCTTTTTAAACTAGAGTCTATTCAAATAGGCTTTCTTTTTCTTTGTATTCAGGAGCTGTCCTTACCACAGCCAGGTCCTTCACTGGGCTGTGGAGACTACAGTCTGATTCTTTTTGACCCCTGGACTCTCCTTGAGATATAATTTTTGTAACTTTATCTGCCTATTTCTTCTGCCCATTTTTGCTACTAAACTTATAACTGAGATCAAGTAGCCAATCCTGAACTGCCAAAGCTGTGTGCAATTATAATCTTGGATAGCAAAAACTAGTTCACCTCCAAAATAACTGATGACAATTCTGAATTAAAATGAACCCCAATTAGTGCATGCCTGTAATCCCAGCACTTGGGAAGCTGAGGCGTGGGACCGCCACAAGTTCAAGACCAGCCTGGGAAACACAGTGAACTCAAGGGCAGCCTGAAGTGCATAGTGAGACCTTGTCTCAAAAGACAAAAAAAAAAAAAAAAAAAAAAAAAAAAAAAAAAAAAAAAA